TCCTTCTTCCTTTTCGTTCTTTTCTGCCTTTTCTTTCTTTCCTCTCTTTCTCTTTTTTCTCTCTTTCAAGATGAAGTCTTGCTCTTGCTGCCCAGGCTAGAGTACAATAGCGCAATCTTGGCGCATTGCAACCTCTGCCTCCCAGGTTCAAGCAATTCTGCCTCAGCTTCCCAAGTAGCTGAGATTACAGGCATGCACCACCACATCCGGCTAATTTCTTTATTTTTAGTGGAGACAGTGTTCCTCCATGTTGGTCAGGCTGGTCTCAAACTCCTGACCTCAAGTGACCTGCCTGCCTCGACCTCCCAAAGTGCTAAGATTACAGGTGTGAGCCACCACAGCCGGCCCAGTGATCCTATTTCTAGGTATTTATCCAAGATTAATGAAAGTTTATGTTCTCACAGAAACTTGTATGTGAATGTTTGTAGTGGCTTTATTAATAATCACCAAAAACTGGGAAAAAAACAACTAGAGAATGGATAAACTGTGCTCCACTGGTACTACCTTCAATATTACTCAGCAATAAAATGTAACAAACAGCTGGTAATGCAACAGTGTGGATGAATTTCAGAGGCATTACACTAAGTGAGAGAAGCAAGCCTCAAAAGTGGAGACACTGATTCCATTTGTATTACATTCTGGGAAAGGGTAGAGAACAGATAAGTAGTTGCCTGGGAATGGGGGAAACCTTGACTACCAAAGGGCTTTGTATCCTTTGTATCCTGATACAGTTTGTATATAAACGTAACTTTTAAAATACTGATAATTAGGTCCTATCTCAGACCAATTAACTCCCTCTGAGGGCCAAACCCAGGCACCCCTCTTTGTTTTAAACTTTCCCAAGTAGTTTTACTGTATATTCAGGGTTGAGAACCACTGAGCTATGTAAATTATCTAAAGCACTCCAAGAAAATACTGCCTTTTGGTTTTGAGTTTCCACTCTCTTCAATAACTTTAAAAATAGCTGGACAGAAATTGAACATCAGGTGAAGTAGTAATTCCTGTCTACGCGGATGTGGGTCATCCCACCTTTTTCCCATTGGTGGCTGAGAGACATCAGGCAGACTTTTCTGGGTATCATTTTCTGCTGCTAACATTGTTCAAGTGGGTAGTTATGAAAACCAACATCAAGAAAGCCTTGAACAGAGCATGATTATTTAAACCATTGTATTTGAGATCATATCCAGCAGTACTTGATTGTTCTTATCAGCCATGGGATTTTTGTCCATTTCTAGTGTCCTATGAACAGACCTGACTCAGGGCTTTGGTTTAAATTGTGCCACTAGATGTCACTGAGAAGTGATGAATGGGTAAATGCACAAGGGGCCAAGGATAAAATGTGATGGGGAATTTTTGAGTTTATTTTCCAGCTTCTAAAAGGGCTCTGAAGGGGATGGGTTAATGCAGAGGATCTAGTGGAGGGCTGCAACATATCACGAAAGTTTGCCGCAGCTTCTGAGGAATTCTTACTCTCTTTAGCTGTGGGATGCTTCTGTCATCTCATTTATTTATTTATTTAACCTCTTCTTAGCTTTGGAGACTCTTAAAATTTCTGTACCTTGGCATTAGGTGGCCTTCTGTGTCTTATCCCTTTTCCTGAGACGTTTTTCCTGCATATAATCTAAAATTGACTGTCCTGCTCTAAAATTGTTCTCAGATTCTTCTGGCCTCACCCCTCTCTTTTGTTATTTCTCTTATGTTGTTTCAGAATTCAGCAAAACTGATCACTCCCCATAGTTTCTCAGGCTGAACAGAAAGGATGTGAGGAGGTTTCCTGGATGCGCCAGGTTAGGCCCGATGTGCAGTGGGTTAACACTAGTCTTTCTGTATATATCTATGCGAGTCTTTGCAAACCAAGTTATATAAAGGTGGAATCAAGAGCCTAATGCCAAACCAGAGTTAAGATCTGATCTCTAGTTTCCCTTTACCCTCTGTGCCTTGTGGTCAAGCCCCTGTCCTTCATATTTGAGTTGACTGGGGATTTTTTTCTAGCTGAAAGTAGATAGCTGTAGTTGCCAGTGTAAACGTAAGTCTTAGTCCCAATTCAGAAGTGAGCTTCATCTCTGGCCTATCTCGCAAACTTAAGTCCATGATCTGGGTTAAAATGCCCACCAATGTATTTCACCTCTGAATCTTGAATTTGTTTCATGTCTATTTTAGGACCTATCATCTGCATTTAGCATCCCTTAGCTATCCCAGCTGCACATAATACTCCTTTGCATTTATAGGATATGCCATGTAATCCCACATTTACTTATTTGAGTCCTTGTGTTGTCTTTTCCACAGTCAGCTGCTAAAAGTTTTCTTGTCTTTTGTACTTAATATATTTGCCTTGCATGACATTGAGCATAGAATTGAACTGATTGTTGACGAATCAGTTGAACCAAGGCATAGTAATAGTAGTGAACAGTTATGAAATATGATGCCCAGGTACTGTCTAAATACATGCCGTGTTTTATCTCATTAAATCCACACAGACACCATGAGGGAGGGACTATTATTTTCCTCCATTTTAACCATGCAGCAACTGGGCCATAAAGAGGTCAAGAAACCTGCCCAACATCACCCAGCTGCTAAGTGATAGAGCCACATTACAAACCCAGGCAGCCTGACTCCAGGATGTGTATTCTTAATCTCGATACTATGACTTCATTAAAACCATAAAAGTAAATATTTTATTTATTTTGGAGGCAGAGTCTCATCTCACTCTGTCACCCAGGCTGGAGTACAGTGACACGATCTCAGCTCACAGCAACCTCTGCCTCCCGGATTCAAGCTATTCTCATGCCTTAAACTCCCAGGTAGCTGGGATTACAGGCACCCACCACCATGACCAGCTAATTTCTGTATTTTTAGTAGAGATGGGATTTTGCTGTGTTGGCCAGGGTGGTCTTGAACTCCTGGCCTCAAGTGATCTGCACACCTCAGCCTCCTAAAGTGTTGAGATTACAGTTGTGAGCCACCACTCCCGGACAGGAAATATTTATTAAGCATTTTTATGTGTAAGTTATTGTGCTAAGTGATTTACATGCATTATCTTATTCATTCCTCACAGGAACAGTATGAGGTAGGTACCATACTATCCCTATTCTGCAGACAAAACTGAGGCATGGAGAGGTTAAGTAAATTGCCGAACGCCATGCAGATTGTGAACCTGCATCTGAGTCCAGAGCTCCAGCTTTTAACTGCTATCCTGTATTGCCCATATACCCCTGTTGGTATTAATTGGGTCAGATCCTACCTGCCATTTGACCCCAGTACAGGATATATTACTCTGTTTTCTTTTGGTTTATGTGTGCTTGCTCTTTCACCAGTGTGTTAAGGATCCACATCCAGAGATAGTATTTGAGCCTACTTCATGGACCTCACCCTTAGATACTGCTTTCTTCACTAATCGCATTTTTTCTAGTTTTGGGACATTGCCTTATTGCCTCCAGGTTAGGTCAGTAGGAACTATCCAGTTTCCGTTTCCTTTCATGCTATTGTATGTGTTTGAGTAAATTAACCACCAATAACATAAGGTGATTCCTGCCTGTGACGTGGCAGCTCTCTGTGGAGGCATGAATGTGAAATATAGGTAAAAAGCCAAAGCACTGCTTGACAAATGCTGTTTCTAAGGATGGTAGTTTATGATTCTTTCTTTTCAGTTTGTTATCAAGAGTTTTCCTTCTGAAAAGGCAGAAGGTTTTAGAGTAGCAGGAGAGAGATTCTATTAAGAGGATGAAAATCATGAAGCTTATTTCTTTCTTTAACTTTCTCCAGAGTCTGAATGGTGTTTGGCTGAACAGACAGCGTCTGGAACCTTTAAGAGTCTATTCCATTCATAAGGGAGACTACATCCAACTTGGAGTGCCTCTGGAGAATAAGGAGAATGCAGAGTATGAATATGAAGTTACTGAAGAAGACTGGGCGACGATATATCCTTGTCTTTCCCCAAAGAATGACCAGATGATAGAAAAAAATAAGGGATTGAGAACTAAAAGGAAATTTAGTTTGGATGAATTAGAGGGTCCTGGAGCTGAAGGCCCCTCAAATTTGAAATCCAAAATAAACAAAGTGTCTTATGAATCTGGTCAGTCAGTGAAATCACAGGGGAAAGGTGAAGTGGCCAGTATACCCTCTGAAAATTTAAATCCTAAGTTGGCTGCCCTTGAGCCAAATAAGACCACAGGGCCTCCCATTTACCCTGGCTTCCCCAAAGTCACAGAGGCTCAGCAGAAAGCCTCAAACTCTTCAGCATCTCAGAGCAGCTTACAGCTGTTTAAGGTGACCATGTCCAGGATTCTGAAGCTGAAAATACAGATGCAGGAAAAACAAGAAGCTGTTAGGAATGTGAAAAAGCAGACCCAAAAGGGGAACTCAAAGAAAATTGTGAAAATGGAGCAGGAACTGCAGGACTTGCAGTCCCAGCTGTGTGCAGAGCAGGCTCAGCAGCAGGCAAGAGTGGAGCAACTAGAGAAGACTTTCCAGGAAGAGGAACAGCATCTTCAGGTACCACATCCTTCAGGAAGGAAAGGGCAAGAGTGGTCTTCAGGGGTGGGGCAGGCACTTCATGAGCCTCTGGCCAGAGTTCTCAGTTTCTGGGCCAGGCACCAAATTCTGAGCACCAAAGACAGGAAATGGAATGGGAACAGTAAACTTTTGAGATGAGGGAATTGGGTTGAGTAAAGGGTTAAGGCTTCAGCACGCTGATGAGATCAGGAGCCGGAGTTGGGGCGCTAAGATAGGGTAAAATATCCAGCAGAGCCAGTGAGGACATATCCCAGGATGCAAAGCTGAGTCAACTCAGAACCAACATGAATTCAGGGGAAGGTTAGGTGAAGGTCAAGATGCCACAAAACCACAGTATAGCCCAATTAAATCAATAGTTGTCTTCAGGACTTACGTATCTTTTCTCTGGGCCAAGGCCAGATCACTTAGTCCCAGGGCAGGTACAGGTCAGCTGGTTTCTTTGCCCTTGTACCTGACAGTTTGTTAACTAGAAAGGTTAGTTAACTCTATAGCTAACCCAGGAGGTAAGAAGCTAAAAAGAGCCGGGCGTGGTGGCTCAAGCCTGTAATCCCAGCACTTTGGGAGGCCGAGGCGGGTGGATCACGAGGTCAAGAGATCGAGACCATCCTGGTCAACATGGTGAAACCCCGTCTCTACTAAAAATACAAAAAATTAGCTGGGCATGGTGGCACGTGCCTGTAATCCCAGCTACTCAGGAGGCTGAGGCAGGAGAATTACCTGAACCCAGGAGACGGAGGTTGCGGTGAGCCGAGATCGCGCCATTGCACTCCAGCCTGGGCAACAAGAGCAAAACTCCGTCTCAAAAAAAAAACAAAAAACAAAACAAAACAAAACAAAACAAAACAAAAAAAAGCTAAAAAGGCAGAAAATGTTTTTGTTTCTATTTTGAGCAGCTAGCATGTGATGGGACAGATGCACCATGGCTGCATTATTGGGTTGAATGATAAACCACCTTCCGCAGGGCCTATAGTAGGAAGATAAAATAATGGCTGTCTTAGCTGTATAAAGACCAAATGTGTTCCCATCCCTGAGTCATTTGCTTAGATGACATGCTCTTGCACAAAGCTTTAGGCTAGAGCAGATCCTGTCCCTGCCCAAAATGTCATTTCCTATCTGTCAGGAACCACATGTTTTACTCCCACCCAGTGGTTCAGGTAATATTGAATGTCAGAAATTCCCCATTGTTTACTTAGAACTCAGATGGACCGGTCACCATTGAAGTGAACAAGCTTTTTTGTTTGGGTTGCTCAGGGTAAGGAACAACCAGCGGTAATGTTGGCTTATTTCTGAGCAATTTATAAATGTCATTCTGATCTCTGCCATCCCCTTGAACTGGTAGTATTAGCAAAGGCCATGGATTAAATAGGACTTTTGAGAGTATACACTGCTTACTTGTGGGTACCTTTTTGCTTCCCTTATTCAGCCTAGACTAGTTGTTGAAATTAATAGAGGGGGGTTTATGTCTACATATTTAGATGTAGACCTTCACACCTTCACTGGGACAGAACTCTCTGTAAAGGCTAATATTGTTCAGGGACAAGTTACTGTTGATTAATATTTGTGGCTTCTCTGGACATGCTTCAAGGTATAGCTGCAAAATCTTTTTCTGTACCAAAATGTTAAAGGCGAAAGGACTGGTTTCGAGAATTTCTCTGGGTATGAGTAGGTCGTATATTTATTGCTCATAGTGAAGTGTATCTAGTCCCTTGTTGATCAGCTACATCTCCCTCTGTCCACCAAGCCCTAGGGATTTATCCTACCTGCTACCATTTGTTTAGAAGTTCATTAAACTCTTGCTGCTTCACACTTATTTTTTTTTAATTTTTAATTTTTTTATTGCATTTTAGGTTTTGGGGTACATGTGAAGAACATGCAAGATTGTTACATAGGTACACACATGGCAGTGTGATTTGCTGCCTTCCTCCCCATCACCTATATCTGGCATTTCTCCCCATGCTATCTCTCCCCAACTCCCCACCTCCTGCTGTCCCCCCCCATTTCCCCCCGACAGACCCCAGTGTGTGATGCTCCCTTCCCTGTGTCCATGTGTTCTCGTTGTTCAACACCCACCTATGAGTGAGAACATGCAGTGTTTGATTTTCTGTTCTTGTGTCGTTTTGCTGATAATGATGGTTTCCAGGTTCATCCGTGTCCCTACAAAGGGCACGAACTCATCGTTTTTTTATGGCTGCATAGTATTCCATGGTGTATATGTGCCACATTTTCCCTGTCCATTCTATCATTGATGGGCATTTGGGTTGGTTCCAGGTCTTTGCTGTTGTAAACAGTGCTGCAGTGAACATTCGTGTGCATGTGTCCTTATAGTAGAATGATTTATAATCCTTTGAATATATACCCAGTAATGGGATTGCTGGGTCAAATGGAATTTCTATTTCTAGGTCCTTGAGGAATCGCCACACTGTCTTCCACAGTGGTTGAACTAATTTACACTCCCACCAACAGTGTAAAAGTGTTCGTATTTCTCCACATCCTCTCCAGCATCTGTTGTCTCCAGATTTTTTAATGATCGCCATTCTAACTGGTGTGAGAATGTATCTCAATGTAGTTTTGATTTGCATTTCTCTAATGACCAGTGATGATGAGCATTTTTTCATATGTTTGTTGGCCTCATGTATGTCTTCTTTTGTAAAGTGTCTGTTCATATCCTTCGCCCACTTTTGAATGGGCTTGTTTGTTTTTTTCTTGTAAATCTGTTTTAGTTCTTTGTAGATTCTGGATATCAGCCCTTTGTCAGATGGGTAGATTGCAAAAATTTTTTCCCATTCTGTTGGTTGCCGATTCACTGTAATGACTGTTTCTTTTGCTGTGCAGAAGCTGTGGAGTTTGATTAGGTCCCATTTGTCTACTTTGGATTTTGTTGCCAATGCTTTTGGTGTTTTGGTCATGAAGTCCTTGCCTATGCCTATGTCCTGAATGGTTTTGCCTAGATTTTCTTCTAGGGTTTTTAT